GCAGGATTCACACTGGGGACCTACAGGGACAGGTTCTGTCACTCTTTGGCAGTGCCCTGGGGTATCCAAGACCCATGATCAGTCATGTGACCCACGGAGCGCGAGGCTGATTTCTGGAAAGAAACGCTTATTAAATAGGATTCTCCCTTTTTGGCAGGGTCCTCTCTCTGGACACAGGCTAAATCTCTCATGTTCACTCTCAGTCTCACACAGGCTAATATCTGCCCCAGCCTGTTCTTAAAGGGGCAGCTCCCATTAACCAAAGTCAAATGCAGTGGCAGAGGTCCGGTTGCTAGGTGATGTTGTCCCCTTGCAGAATGCTGAGCTGAGCAAAACTCACACTGTGAACACCAGGAAATGCAGAATTAAGGTTGTCCAGGCACCCTTAATGCTGTCCTATTTTAGCACTGCCTAATACACTCCATTAACACAGAAACACTCACTCTGCCAACCCCACAGCTGCTGAAATGCACAAGTTCTTCCTCTCCTTTTATAGACCAGTCACTCACTACAGGCTTCCATCCCACACTGGGAAAAGACAAAAAGAGAAGGAAAATAAGGTGGTGCCCATACCACCTTCCTTCTGTTCCCTTGGAGCCAATGGGAATTCTTTGCAGAGGCTCCAGGAGCAGTCATGGTGTTTGGTGCACCTGCAATCAGTGGTGGAGGCCATAGCTGGGCTGTTTGGTAAAGGTTCTGGGTAGTGGTAGTAGCCTGTGATAAACTGGTGGTCAGACTACATGATCTAGTGATCCCTTCTGGCCTTAAACTCTCTGACCGTATGACACATCAGCTGTGCCCCACTAGCCCTGCTCCAGCACACCTCCTCAGCCATGCCCCTGGCCCAGTCAATGAATTCCCCCCTCCAGCCTGGTCCCTTTCCACAACTGCACCCAGACCCCTGCTCTGCAAGCTGGGAATGCCTCTCCCTCATGTGTTCACTCCCTCATATGCCAACATTTCTATTGCCATTACCCCCGACCTACAACCTGCCTCACATGCAGTGCCTGGAGAGAAGGACAACTATGTTACAATGCAATGGTGTCCCTGCTCATCTTTCACAGTGGTTGGAGGGAGTGTTTGTGGCATGGCTGGTATGATGGGTTGTCACCCCTGGGGTGTAATCTGGGAGCCGTGGAAACCGCTGTTCCTCTCTAACCTGCTCACACTACTTTATTGGAGATCCAGCCAGCCTCTCCAGGCCCTGTTATTACCCAACACAACAGCAGGTGGCACCACACACCCAACTGATGAGTTACCTGAGTGCTTTACTTAAGCCACTCAAAGACAGACAGCCAATTTCTCAGCTCTCCAGGCTTGCATCCCCACTCTGGAGTATAAACCCAGAATTACACCATCTTACACTGCACAGGGAACTGTACAATGTAAGCTCATTAATATATAGTTCACCTTCCCCTCAATGTGGGAAAGATATACACAGCACGCTTGTGTTAACCAAGCTGAGAATTTTCCTCAGGCACGCCACTTAAAGGCAAACTGGTTAAGATAAAGTAAAAAACCAGTTTATTAACCACAGAAAGATAGATTTTAAGTGATTATAAGTGATAGTAAACGGAACAAAGCAGATTATCCAGCAAATAAATAAAAATGCAAACTAAGCCTAACACACTAGATGGATAGGATCTGAATTAGCAATTTCCCACCCTGACTGATGATACAAGCAGTCCAGCAAGTTTCCATACACAGGCTAGAAATCCCTTTAGCCTGGGCCAGCACTTCCCCCAGTTCAGTCTTTGTTCCTCAGGTGTTTCCAGGAGTTCTCTTGTGTGGGGAATGAGGCCAAAAGATGATGTCACACCCCACCTTATGTAGCTTTTCCGTATGGCAGGTACCCTTTTCTTCCAACCTCAGTTCCCAGTCCAGCTTGTGGAAAAATACAGGTACCAAAATGGAGTTCAGTGTCATGTGGTCTGGTCACATGCCCTTGCTGGGTCATAGCAACCATTACTCATTGGCTGGCTGAAACGTTCACTGTAAGACTAAGCTCTTTCATGTTCCATTGTCTTTCCTGATGGGCCATCGGCACTGTCTGGCTTCTTCATTGTTGTACCTGAAAGGCTATTTGGGGGTGTTACTCAGAGTAAGCACATTTGAAATACAGATACATAGTCAATAGATGCAAAAATGATACATGCACAGAAATAGGATAATCAAATTCAGCAAATTATAACTTTTCCACAGACACCTCACAAGACATATATTGTACAAGATGCAGCATAATTATGTCATCATCATACCACTATGAAAAATATGGGGTGCAGTGTCACAGCTGGTGGGAAAAATCACAGACAGGATTTCTGTTCCCAAACACTGACAGGTTTATGTTGACAGAAAGCGTGCCTGAGCCCTGCGGAGTAGCTGGACCCCGTAGCTGAGAAACACGGAGCGGTCAGAGATTGCCATGTTTCTATGCCACCCTTCAGGACAGGTACATGGGATCTGGCTTCACCTGCTGGACTGGGATTCTGCTGGTGCCGTCTCCATCTTGAGCTGATAATGCCACTCCTTGTGTCGCCACTGCTTCTCCTCGTGCCAGTGCTGGCCCTCCCACTTCTCAAGCAGCTGGGATTCCAGATGCACTCTGTCCCTCTCCTGTTCTGCCTAACTGTCCAC